GGGGCTTGCAGGGCTCTGGCCCACTTTGGACTCCAGTGCTGCCACAGCTCTGCCATCGCTGCAGTGCAATGCCCCCGCTGGGAAGGGGCTCACTCCCCCACATTATGACAGGGGCTGCTGCCACCAGTAAGGGCCCTGCCTCTTCCCGCTGCAGTGGTGAGGTGGGGGCATGGCCAAGCAGGGCCCCTGGGAGGGGGAAGAGAGTGCAGCAGTGAGGGTGGGCAGATCTGGCTTGGTAGAGAGGAGACTAACTCTCCTCCCTGCCCTGCTCTTCCTCAGGGGCTATGGTGCCTGCTGCTGCAGCAGTGAGGGGAGTGGGGCACCCAGCAGACCCAGCTCAGGTCCCTGCTGGTTGGATAGAGAGAGGGAATTAAACCCCTCCCTGGCCAAGTCAGCTCAGACTGACCATGCCTCCCCCCATAGCTTCCCTGCAGCCAAAAGCCTGCCCTAGCACCGCCTGGCTCCTGGCCTGAGTAACTGCAGGCATGTGCCTGCATTGCCTCAGACCAGAGTGAATATTTGTCCTGTTACAAACCGGTTTCAGCCAAGGCAGGTTAGACTAACCTGCAAAAACTGAATCAATTTAGGCTCCAGCTTTTTAAATCTCTGTCCCTAGCATTAATGAAGATAAAGTATATATCCGACAGTGGTACAACAATGGGTAAAACTAAATATAAATTATAATTAGATATCTTTGGTAAACCATCATATTAAATGTTCATTTTTCACTTTTGTGTTCAAAATTGTTTCTAAATTTGAGTTTCCAAATTATGTATGTATACTCAGGCTGCACTACACTGAATATCTGGGCACTGTATACCTACACTGTATGACTCTCATACTGGTGCTTCCCATGTCCTCCCCCGACCACCAGCACTGTACCATGCGCCCAGGTATCCTGATTCACCCTTAGCTTCCCAGCCACAAGCTCCTCCACTATACCTTGCCACTCAGACACACGAACCTGTTGACTCCCACAGCACTGCACACTGTGACATACTGGTCCTACGATGACCGTATGTCCCAGTTTAGCCAGAAAAGTCCTGGATTTCAAAGGCCAGTCCCAGCTGGCTGGTGAGAGTTAAAATAAGAATCCTGGAAATGCAAAGGCATGGGGTGCAGTCTGGCAAGGGGGAAGAGTGGTGCACCAGGTAGGCAGCCAGCTACTACTGCCCAGCCACCTGCCTGCCTGGTGCACCACACCACTCTGCCTCTGCCTGCAGCAGTGCCACTGATGTGGGAGAGTGGGCAGTGTCCTAGATGTCCCAGATTTCCCTATGGTCAACCTGTCAAACCCCCTGCTTGAGGCAGGATCATCCCTAATTAAGCCATCCCATACAAATCCTTGTTTAACCTATTACTAAAACTACACAGTCAACCCTGTTGCATATCTATAAGGCACAGAACCCTAACTTGCCACATGTAAAGCAGGGGGACAACAGCAGCCAGTGTTCTGCTGCTGCCAGCTGGTATTAAAATATGCTCAGGCGAACCAAGGAAGTGGCCATATCCATTGCTATAAAGGAAGGCAAATGCCTCTCCCTCCCCAGTCTGTACCAATCTGACTGTGGAGTAAAATTCCTTAGTGATCTCAGTTGTGGTGATCAGTCTGAGCCTGAGTGGAAGAGCAAGACTCTCTAGCCAGGAACCTTTAGATTTTAGGGGAAAAGAGGTCGGAAACATCTGGACACATGTTTAAGTTATTTGAGGAAGCTGGTATGTGATGGACCAACAGAAAGAAAAGGCCTCTTGCATTCATAGCTTGTGTTCCTGCTCCTCCCCCTGTATGCTGTTCATCAACTACAGCATGATCAAGCTTCCCCACCTGATAAGTCAGGTAAGGAATGGCTGTGTAAACTATGCAGTGGATACACAAGAATCCCATGGATTCATTGCAATATGAAAAGTATTCCCAAAATACTTTCATCCAGTTCATAACTTAATAGCATGTATTAGGGTGTGTCTAGGCAAAACGGGAGGCCTAAATTGAAGCAGTGGGTTTTTAAAAACACTGCTTCAATTTAGGGCCAAGTAAACACCTGTGTCATGCTCACACCCATGCACTTACCTGCCTCTCTGGCAGTGGGAAGGGGAGGGCGAGCTGCTGGCAAGCAGAGTGGTCCCTGGGCTGGTGCTTCCCTCCACAGCAGCAGTGGCCCCCGCTCCAGGCGGCACCTGCCCACAAGCACCTGGCTCAGGTGGTCCTGGGGGGCACTGCAGCTATGGAGGGAAGTACCAGGTCCCCACGGAGCTCAGGCAGGCAGGCAGACTCCAGGGGAAAAAACAAAAAAAAAATCAGGCTTGCCAATTTTTTCTTTTCTTGGGTGGAACCTGCCTTCTCGGGCTGCTGCCAGGCTGCCTGCGCAGGCTTCCAGCAGAGCCCCCGAGCTACATAGCTGTAGAGCAGCAAACTAAAACTCCTTGGAGGAATTTTAGTTTGCAGTGCTCCAAGTCATTTAAGGCACATTATGCTGCTGAATTTCCTACAGCCGCTGGAGTGACTGTGCGATACAACGCATGAAAACACCAACACCATTAAACTGGTGCAAAAGCATTTAACCCATTTTAAAGTGTCATGCACACATGCCCCTCATTTCGTCTACACACAGCCTTATAGAAATTAAGTTCTGCTGCATTCTTAAAGGTGGCAGACAATGGCAATAGACTGACATTCACTCTACTGGCAAGAATTTCTGAGATACTCTTACAAATATAAAAATAACCTTGCAGTACGAGCATATGTGTATTCCAGCCCCCTAGCTGGAGAGGTCCACAGGTGAACTCTCCATCTAGGACAGTGGAGGGTTGCTCCCTGGACTGCCCATTCCTTTAGGGGAGCCCATTACTTAATAGCCTGTCCTCTCTCTTACCTGGGAAAGAGATAAGCTGTCAAGAGGTAACCCCTGGGTTTTAAATCACCCTATGTGACACCCAGTTGGGCAGCACATCTAGTAATTAAAGCCTGCAGAGCCAGTAACCATGGCAAGGAAAGCTCTCCCTGGGTCCCCTAGTTCCCAGAGTCAAAGGCTTTAAATGCCACCCACAGTAGGAACGGTGGAGCAGACCCCAGACTAAGGAGCGGGCAGAGAGCAAGGATCAACTGTTCCTCCACTGGTCCACACTGACAGGAGAAAAGCAGAGGGAGCAGCCTGTCAAACTGTTCCCACCCCTCAGACAAAGGATTTCTGTCTGAGGAGTGGGTATGGGGCATTCACCCTGCTGCTCCAGGACTCACAGACTGGTCTGGAATGGGAAGGGAGCAGCGGGCCACAGCCCCAAGCCCGTTCCTCAAACCAGACCCAGACAGTCTGCGACAGAGGGGGGGAGCATTACTTTGTGGCTCCACCCACCTCCTGTAACAGACTGGGAGGGCAGCAGACAACCATTTATTCTCACAAGACAGTCTCCCTTGTATGTTTTCCCTAGGAGAAACAGAGTAAATACATTTCTACTGGAAGAATGCCTATAAATGCCAAATGACTCCTAACCTTTGTAGGGAGGAAAGGAGAAGAAAAAAATTATGAAAAGAGTAATTACTTATAGGCATGGCACTTCATGTATTAGGCTGTAAATTCTCTGAGTTGGTGGTATTGTTATTATTTAGATCCCAACCTGTCCTAGGCATAGATTTAGATCCCAACCTGTGCTAGGTCTCAAAGTGATCTGTTAGGCCTTGTTACATGTTTTGCTTAGCAAATGAATTCTAAAATAGGAGGATTTTTTTTCTTTTGGCTCTGTGTCCACCCAAATCTTGGGAAAGGGTTCTCCTGACTTCAGGGGGCTCCAAGGCATACCTGTGTACACACTGGACATGTCTACATAAGGTGCTAAATGTGCAGTAGACTACTTATACTATGTATTAGCATGTCAGGGCAAAAGCTGTGCTATTGCACTAATGCACAGTAGAATTAGTCTACTTCACATTAGTGTCACGAAAAAGGGCATGTGCTGGAGCTACTGTGCGGTAGTGCCGGTTACTGTGCATTTAGTTAGTTCCTGTTATTACAGCTACTAAACTTAATGCGCTATACCTATGACACATTAATGAACATGTAGACTTGCCCATTGTAAGCAAAAATAATTTATGAAAGAATAACTTTCATCTGTATCCCTCTGCTTTCTTCTCTTCCAACAATTAATAAACCCACTCAAGAAGGCTCGTGCTTAGAATTTCAAAAACTGAATCAGAAAACTAGAGGGTGCATCGTTAGGACTATATTGCATGCATGAAATTAGGTGCAGCTTCATCATGAACGTGCACAACAATGAAAAAGAATGAAAAGCTTTACTGGACCCATATCTAATTTTACCAAACAATGGGACAGGCATACAGGAATGTAAGAGGCAATATTGAAAGCTCTAGTATGAGTCAGCTTCCCATTACAGGTATGCTAAGAGACTTAAGAAGCTAGTTTTCTATCCTGGTTACTTAAAACATGCTTATTTTCAAAAGAAGCAAAACCATACCTTTACATACTGATTACAATTCAGTAAATAATATTTGTAAACAGCAAAACTACAGTTAGTTTACCGTATTTGTTCGACCTTCCCCTTGCCCTCAGGAGCTGTGTTAGTTTCATGGTACTGAAATACTGCCTGTGGGCTTATCAATAGGGAACCCTACCTGAGACATTCATATCCCAGTACAGATACAGAGACTGACAGCAGACAACACAAATGGTAGCAGCTATCAAAATTTTGGGGAAAAAATAAAAATACTTGCACAGACTGTGAGGAAATGGGAACAGGGCTACACAAAAGAATGGAGAGAAAGAATAAGTATATATAAGCATAAGAAGAATACACTCTATTTCTGACTAGAACATTCTCCTTAGATATTCAGTTTTAAGATGCAAACTGACTTCAGCATTTTCATTGTTTTCACAACAGCTTTTGTAAAGTTTCTACAAGTAGTATTTGGAGAAACACCAATCCTTCTAAAACTAGGTATGTTTACAACATTTTCATCAGCAAATTTTATTTTGTGTATTTTTCCTTACCTGTACAGTTCATCGCAATGCACAGGCTGCTGAAGAATTTATGAAAACAAGCTATAAAAGAAAAACATTTATTAAAACATAATCCATATTTCATTCCTTTAATTCTAATAGTAAATTAATAAACAGTAACAGGTTATTATTTAAGACAAATTTTAAATTTTAGAACTTTATTAACATATACACATCTTAAAGTCCATCAAATCCCAATTTTATCATAATCTAATGGCCATTTTTATTACAACAGGAGTATCAAACATAAAGCCCTGCCATCCAGTCCCCTGGTGCTCCCCGTGGGTCTTAGCAGACCCACACAGGGCATGGCACATGCCAGACCAGCCCCTCAAGAAGAAGGCCTGGGATGCACGCCATATGCGGTACCTGCCCCAGCTGTTCCAGAACTGTGCCAGATGGGAGGACACATGTGGCACAGATCCCAGAGTGGCAAGACCAGGCTCTGTGTGCAGCATAGTCCAGCTGGGCAGATATAGGTGGATTCCAGAAGTGGTACACATGGTACCTGACCAAGCCAGGCTGTGGACATGTACCACCCATTCTAGGATGTGTGCCACACACAGTGACTGCTCCTGACTTCCTGGAGGTCTAGAACTGTGCTGCATGCAGAGCCTACTCCAGGTAGTCTGGGACCCAAGCTGCATGTGGTCCTGTGAGTGTCATGTGCAGTGCAAGTCCCGGACCAGCTGGAGTGGGCACTATGTGTGGTGTGATTCCCACAGCAGGATCTGCCTGTGATGCAGTCTGGCCAGAGCGGGTATCATGTACAGGGTGGTGCCCAATCCAGCTGGTATGGGATTCATGCTACACACGCCTGGCCAGACTACTCTGCATGCAGCATCCATTCCAACCACTTTAGGATCCGCTGTGTGGGTCTCAGACTGGCTGGAGCAGGTGCTGGATCCAGTATGTGGGGGAAAAGGAGTAGGGGAAGAGGAGAGTGCCTATAGGCCAGATCCAGCCTGCAGACCCATGCCACTCATCTGGCCTGCAGGGCTGGATGAGTTTGACACACCTGAACTACAGGATCACATAATATTTTTCCCGGCTGATCCCTACTTCATTCATTATGTAGGATAGACTGATTATTTAGATAACTGCTATGCAACATTTTATTTCATTATTACTGTTCAATGTATGGCCCCAAGTTCCAATTAGTGCACACTATTCCAACCCTGATAGGAATACAGTGTAAATTCCTCACAGGCTTTTCTTTGAGGCTCCACACTACAGTATATAAGAGTGTCACAAACACTGTTTCATTTATCTTCACAACCCCTCTGAGGTGAGAAGGTGGTCTTCTCACCTTTTTACAGAGGAGGAATTCAGCACAGATTAAGGTGAAAGGCATCTATCAGTTGGAGATGCTTCAAACTGATTTTTTTAAGAGTTCACGGCATTATATAACACTTCAGCTATTCAAGCATTACTCTCAGTGATTTCAGCTGCAGGTATAAATGATCAGCATGTCTGCAAATCAGGCACAAAACTGAGACTGACCACAGAAAATGATTATTAGTGACCAGCTGTAGAAAGTGTATGAGAGCTGCTTAATGTCACCCAGAAACTCTGTGGCACTTCCACAGCCAAACTGCAATTCTTTAAAGCAACATTAAACTGCCATTTTTATTATTTTTTTCCTTCTCTTGGAATCCGGCATTTCATTCAATGCACACCTTCCAAGTTCTGCAACAAATAAGCAGGAGTCCAACACACTTTATACATAACTCTTATTCATACTTGGAACAGGTCATTCTGTTCACTGACTCAAGCAACGATCAGTGTACATAATCAAATGTTTAATGATGCTATAAAGTCTCATTATCCCTATCCAAATCATTTCATCTAAATGTTTGTCTAATCTACTCTTTAAAAAACTCAACAAATGGAGATTCTGTAACCTCTATAGGTAATCTGTTCTAATGCTTAACAACCCTCAAAGTTAAAAAAGTTCTAATATCCATTCTAAATTTCCCAGATTGTAGTGTAAGATTATTCTTTCTTCTCCAGCCCTGGAGGCCACAAAAAATATTGCCCTTCTCTTTGTAACTGTCCTTCAGGTATTTAAAGACTGTTACCAAATTCCCCCCTTAGTCATCTCTTTTCCAAACTAAGCAATCCCAAGTCTTCCAACCTTTTCTTGTAAATCATGTTTCTTAGACCTTCCTAATTATTTTTGGTGCTCTCCCCTGGCCTTTTTCTAATGTGTTCACATCATTTTTGAAATGTGGGGCCCAATATCAGTCACAGCACTTCAGGTGCAGCCTCATCCATGCTGAACTGAGTGGAAAAATCACTTCCCTAAACAAACAGGTGATGTTCCTGATAATACAGCTAGGTATGGTTTTGACTTTTTTTTGTCAAAAAGCTGATTTTAGGTTGCACAGATAGTTCTTATTTTCTAAGTGCTTGCAATCTTAATATGGTTCTTTTAATTTTATGTGAGGCAATTTTGTTAATTTGCTTTGTTTGGTGGTGTTTCCAGATCTGTAAAAAGCAAACTGAAAAAACACCAGAGATCCCCCCCATGCACTCTCATAGCGAGACCCATATTGACGTCTACCAACTGAAGGACTGAAAATGTTAGTTTCACCTGCACAGATCTCTACTAATTAAGCTGGCAGAACAACTGATAGCAGTATCTATGTGGAGCAGCCCTAGATAGAGAGTCACAGATATCTGCTGCCAGAAGAGGAATGGTGGGACTCAGAAATGTTGGGCTCCATTTCAGGCCCTTGAAACAGTTCTTATAATAAGATGTCTCTAACAACCTTAATGATGTGTAGCATAAACCAACTCTGACTACAATACAGAAAAGATGCTCCTTTCCTCTCTTTCAAAAAAAATTGTAATTGGTATCATTTATATTTTAGAGTATATGCCAATATATTCAAAAATACTTGATATCATCTACTAAAGTTCCTAGGATTATTTAAATAAAAGCAAACTGACTACAGTGACCTACAGGATATTGTAAATGACCTATAATCAGCAATGTGGAGGTATAGAAAAATATTTCAAAAACACAATCAGTTAAGCCCAACTACCTTCAGCACCTATAATACAAGCTATTCATGGAATATATGCTTCTGTGGGATATGCTATTATAGTCTGATGAAGTGAGATTGCATTTGTGTAACAGGAGATATTTTGGTCCAATATCTCCATTTTAAAACTGGGAATTGAGTCACATAGCCCTGGGCTCATGGGAATATATCCTTCCTTCTCCTTAGCCACCTGTTTATTTATGGTATTTTTGAGTTTCTCTGACCCTGTTTCAGAAAGATTAATGATGGAGTTATTTTTTCTGTTATAAACTTAGACCACAGTTTTACTGTTGAGTGCAGGGATGGGCTCCTGAAGCTGCACATGTCTTTACAACAGTTAAATGTTTACACAGACCCAATAGTAGGAGTGTTTCTCCAAAGAAGGGTAAATTGCCCAAAGAAATCTGAGAGCAGAAACACATTAGCATATCAAACCTGCAATCTG